GGTCTGATATTGGGGATGGAACTTGCAGCCTTGCACTTATGAGGCAGATTCTTACGCCATTGAGCTAGCTCCTCAGCCCTAAAGTGCTACTTCACTTTAAAAAAAAAAATCATGTCTTTCTTAAGAGAATGACAACTTTATATTCCAGGTACCCCAGCCTGGGCTATGGCAAAAATTGCTCAGATACTTGTGAAAAAATGAGTTCAGTTCAATCTCTGAAGAGGCCAGAAACTTAGGTCACTCTGTCCTACAGCTGCAGAAACTTAGGTCAGTACTCCTCTGTGTAGAACACCCAAAGCCTACTAGTGTCCTCCTTTTAGCTCTGTAAAGTTCTAAACTAACTGAGAAAACAGACACAGACTTTTGCACATGCTGTGGCCCCCGTCTGGGGTGCCACCTCTCAGGCCTGTGCGTGGCTCTTGCTTATCTTTTGAGTCCCAGCTTCACTGTCACCTCTTCAGAGAGAACGTACTGATCATTCTGGTGTGAATTCACCCTTTTTTTTTTTTTTTTTTTTTTTTTTTTTTTTTTTTTTTTAGTGCTCAGAGGTTTATTGGTGGTTAGTCACATAGACATTCGCTGTCTAGCACATACCAAAACTGTGGGTTCCCAGAAGAAAATGTGTTCAGTATAAATCTTACTGTTCACATAAATGGTTTAGACACTGTGGGCCATTCTTATCAGGGAGCTAGGGGACCCCTTCTGAAGTCTGTGACCCCAGATGCCAGCTGGGCACTAACATTGCAATCAGGCTTTTCTAACAACAGAATCCTCACACTTGCAAGGTGAAACCTGTTGAATAGGATCTGTCCAGGTAGAGTTGTTGGAGAAATGAATTCTGGCTCCAGAAACATCAATAAATGGCTCAGAGTCATGATAACAGGAACAGAATTAGTGCATGTACAAAGTATTGACATCTCAATATTACTAGGGCTAGAGTGTGAAATGTGGCCTCGTAAGGCTCTTGTTTCTGAGCATCCCTGCAAGGCATGAAATTATAAAGAGGATTAAAATGGCTATTGTGCTAATTCAAAATGTTTTGCTTCGATTATCTGTTTCTTTCATGTAAAGACATATTTGTAGTTTGGAAGACCCGGATCTTCTAGTTTGGGTTCACTGCTCCACTTGCACAATATAGACACTTTCTGACCATAATGCTTTTGACATTTTACAGTTCAAAGTTCTCTGTCGTGCTACAGGGCAGAGTTTATAGCTGTCCTGGGGGACTATCTATTTTCAGATGTGACATTTCGGAACATAATACCTTCATAAAAGTGATCAACACAAAACATCAGCTTTGTCACTACCTCCTACTACATTAACTATAAATCATGGAATCCTACTTTTCTTCCAGAAAGATAAAGATATGTTCCAATATCTACCAGACCCTTTATATTGCTTTATAAAGCAGCACAGTCCACGTGTTTCCCGGGCCCTGGGTTAGGACTGGCCCATTATTGTTTCTATCAACGCGGTGATTATTTCCTTCCTGACGTGTCACTTTGTGATATATAATTTTTGTCTTGTTGTCAGCCTCTTCCCACACCCAAGCCTAATAAGGGCAGAGACTGTCTGTTAAGTCCTTAGTACCTAACTTACCTTGTGTACCTGGCACATAGTAGGTGCTCAGTAAAGACTGATTGACTAAAAGAACTGAAGAAAAGAAAAGTAGTTGGCTAGCAGCAGCAGTGAGTTTCCAGGTGAGTGAGTTAGTGGCACCTGGTTTTAGCAGGCAGTAGGAGGCGTGCAGATGCGCTCCTAGGCTGCCTCTGCAGGAAGCTGGGAGCCCCAGAGTGGCCTGTGCTGGCAGATCACCTACAAAGTCTGCCTTGGAGCCGAGTCTCTGCCTCTGGTCCTTGTGGAGAAGACCACGGAGGAGGTCGCAGGCAGCCACTGTCCGGCCCACAGGGATCTGTAGAGGCTGGTGTAGAATGTTCTCGTACATCTGAGCAACATCTCGGCTGTAGAACGGCGGCTGGTGAGAAAGGGAGAGAAGCTTCAAGGTCATTCGTGGAGCACGGAAACAGGACCTAGGGACACTGGGACCAAGCGAGAAGGAAGGAGGATTCAGCCGGACCTATGTTGCGTGCAGGGGCGCATCGTAGAGAGAGAGAGCTGGGAGACTCAGCAACTCCAAGCTTCCAGCTGAAGGGAGAGGGGGCTACGAAGGCCAGAAAGCTCTGCCTAAGGACAGGAGGTTCACAGACCTCCCTTGCACTCCCCTTTCCCAGCTCTCCTAATGCAGTTTGTGTTCCAAGTTCATACTTCGACTTTCACCATTTCAGCCAAGCTCATAACCATCCTCAGAGAGGCTGTGGCTTTGCAGATGAGAAGACAAGGCTCTGGGGAATTAAACACACAGCAGGGAGGGAAGAGAGCCAGGCCTCCAGCTGTGCCTACGGTCCAGCGCTCCTTCTTGCTGCTCTCCGGCCACTCTACCTGCCGGCCCTTTGCCTGAGCTCATGGCCTCTAGTCCTTCCGCGGCACCATGCCATGCTGGTGACCCACAGGGAGGATCCTGCCCTGGGGTCCACGCAGGCCTCCACCTGTGCAGGCAGCCAAGGAAGGTCTCCTAAGCCATCAGCACTGTGACCTCTCCTGGCCTCAGTATCCCTCACAGCAAAACAAAAACGATTCTGTATTCTTCCGTGCTAGATTCCAACGTTTGCTTTGAGGCTCCCAAGGTAAAATGGTGTGTTATGAAGTGTAAAGTGCTCAACTAACTGAGAAATTAGATACAGTACTTGTAGTCACAGTGGCATCATCCTTCTGTACCTAGGGCAAGAGCTCATTTCTTTCCATGCACAGAGCTTGGAGAGACCCATCCTCAGCTGTGTCCAGAGCCACATGCCCTGTGTGGACAGCTGCACCCCACTCACCAGGCCATGCAGCATCTCGTAGATGACGGCTCCTAAACACCACCAGTCCACTGCCCGGTCATAAGGCTCTTTACGAAGCACTTCAGGAGCCAGATACTGTTGGGGGAACATGCTTATTTGAGACACACTTATTTTAAAAGACCCCCAGTCTCTGGTTCTACATCTGTAAACAAAGCACTTAAAGGAGGCCAGCAGGGATTGATCCTACTATGATAGTCATGTAGTTGGCCACATGCTCATTCAGCCTCTATTCCCCAAGGCCTAATTTTTACATGGTCCTTTGACATGTTCTGGTGACACAGACATCAGGCAGGACTGCCCTGTACTGTTGAACATGCTGTGTATCACAGAAGTTTGTTTGTTTGTTTAAATACAGAGTCTTGCAATGTAGCGTAGGCTGGCCTTGAACTCAATAACTAGTCCAGACTGGCCTTACACTCATGGTCTCCAAAGGCCTCTGTCACTAAGGTTTCCAGTACAAGCCTGTGCCACATTTCTTAGATATTGTCCTTCGGTCTCCCCACTGCACTGTGAGACTAGTACTTGGACTTCCCTGTTGAAGCCTCCAGAGTGCTGGAAATTACAGGCATGTGCCACCACACCTAGCGACATAGATGTTTCTCCAGCCACAGGGGTAAGAAGGGCTGCAGTCCTGGCTGAGACCCATTCACCAAGCCATAACTAGTTCAGAAGTATATTTGGCAACTTCATTTTAGTTTAAGGGGGTCTTCCTAGAGTGGGTGCCTTCTTCCAACTTGCAGTGCTGGCAGCTTCCTGGAAAGGGATGGCCCAGCTGCCAAGCTTTGAAGGGCTAGTGTCATCCAGAGAGCAATCCCAGACATGAACACAGCCAGTAGCACCTGCTCAGCGAAGTCACCTGTCCATCAGCTATCACAGCACTAGGTGGAAGAGGAACATCTGAGATTCCAAGCCCAGCCTTCCAGGCATAGAGAGAACACCCAGAAGTTCTACTCCCAACTTTGGCTGGGTAGGGAGATGCTGCCTAGCTCTGTAGCTACCATCCTGGTCCCCGTCCAAGCCACTGGGATCCTTTTTGGGTACAAAGTCCAAGACCAGTGGGGAGTTCAAGAAGAGGCTGTGACCCCCAAGGCTGTAGGGAACCCTTGGCAGGATAGACAGACACGTGGGATTACTGCTGAGACCCACATTTTAACTCTCTGGGCTTTTGGCTGGAGAGGTGGGAAGTAAACTTGTGTTTAACATTCACAGGTCCTGATCTTAAGTCTTAGGCCAGGCCTTGACATTGTCCATGGACTTCGCCCTGTGGGGCTGCCATCTGACACAGCAGATACCAGCCACATGTGGCTACTGAACACATGGATGTGACCAAACAAAATACTTACTAGGGTCAGAGACTTAGAAAAAAATACAATATTTCAACAGTTTTTATATAGACTATACATTAAAATGAGAATTTTGGGTAGAATACAATAGATTACTAGAATTAATTTCACCTGTTTCTTTACTTTTTTTGGAGGACTGGTACTCGGGGTTGAATTTGGGCCTCGCCTCCTGTATGCTAGGCAAGTGCTCTACCAGTGACCTACACTCCAGCCCTGTCTTTTACTTTTCAAACATGGTTGCTAGATACTTGTAAATTGTGCACATGGTTTGCACGCTTTTCTATTGGGCTGCACTGCCACTGAGCTTTGCCATGGCCAGTGCGGGTGCAGCTGCCTGAAGAGCTGATGGCCTTGTCATTCACAGGAAACCAAGGCTCAGTGCAAAGCTGGCTCAGAGGAAGAGCTGAGGTGGAGCGAGTAAGCCCTCTTGGCTGTAACTGCAGGAGGTGTGGACTCAGCCATTCATGGCCTGTCCTCTCCTAGGATTACTTACTTCAGGGGTGCCACAGAATGTGGATGTGGTCTCCTCAGGCTCTACACCTTCCTTACAAAGGCCAAAATCTGTCAGTACCACATGTCCCTGAGGACAAGAGACAAGGGAGGAAGGGTGGCCTTAGCCAAGCCAAGGATGTGTCCAGGTCTAACCCGAATCCCAATGCCACACCCCAGGACAGTGGCTGAAGCCCCAGATGTAGAACACAGGTTGTGCAGACTCCTAGACTAGATGCCACAAGTACCAAAGGGCACAAGATGAGGATGTGGCTGGATTTCCACTGTCTTCCCCAGCTCATCATAGACTAAGACTCAATCAAGCCTATGACAATGGCTTGGCAGAATCTCCTTGACAGAATTCTGGGGCTCAGAAAGTAACCACACCTGTGGCAGCTGGGCAGGAGAATAGAATGAGTGGGTACCTCAGGACTTTGCCCAGACCCCTCTGCTACAGTTGCCATGCCCATCCTCCAGGGTGGGACATTGCCCGAGTAAGCCTGCATGCATGCACCTCTCCATCTCAAAGTCTGTTTCCAGGGAACCCAATCCAAGACAAAAGAACTACAAAATCCACTAGAGTTTACCTGGCTCCATCTCTACTTCCCCCCCATGAACATATACACATGTATATATGTGCTTGAGCACACATGCACACATGCACACATATAGAAATGTACCTGCTACCCATGTGGATGCATATACAATGTTTACATACCTGTGCATACAGACTCACTGCAACTGTGCCCACAGCAACACACACACACACACACACACACACACACACACACACACACCAACCTGGCAGTCCAACAGAATGTTCTCTGGCTTCAGGTCCCTGCACAAAATAAGAGAAATATCCTGGTGGAGTCTCAGTGCATTAATGAGAGTTGGGGACGATGGGTCCAGGTTAAAGAACTAATCACGGTGGAGGTTCTCACAGGGAGGCTGGATCTTAGCTGCAGGAAGGAGGATGACCCAACCCTACCCCAGCTGCTGACCCCTTCTCAGACAAAAATCCAAGTTCCGGGATTTAGATGTCCACACAACCCCTGGCTGTTGGAACAAGATAGAGTGGGGTGTGGCTCTGAGCCACTGGTAGACTGTACCTGTAAATGATGTTGAGGGAGTGCAAGTAGCCAATAGCACTGGCCACCTCAGCAGCATAGAACCGGGCCCGGGGCTCCAGGAACCTGCGCTCCCGCTGCAGGTGGAAGAAAAGCTAGGGGAGGAGGCATGTGAGAGAGGTTGCTTGGCTCCAGTTTCCAGAGTATAGGAAGGGACCCACATGACACTACCCTTGTGCCGCTGGTCCCATCACCCCAATCTGAGCTGCAGGCCAGAGAGGGCATGCTGGCCCTACCCCACAGAGCAGTCAATAGGTCCAAAGTATCAGCAGGAGGAAACCTTAATTGGCATTGATCAAGCACCTCCTATGTTCCAGGCTCCAAGTCAACTTCCCTTTCATATCTCGTATCTTGTTCAATCCTCACGACAACCTTCAAAGCATCAAATATGTTGCCAGTTTTGTGTAAGAGGAAACTGGGGGGCCCAAACAGTTAGTTAGTTGACTTGCCAAAGACCATGGATCTCACAAGTGGCAGAGATGAGGTTTGAAACCAGGTGGCTCAAAGGTGTGCTTTTCTTCCAATTCAAGGGATACAATGATTATGGCTGTGTGGCCATTAATGCTGATGATCAACTTGACTGGATTAAGAGATGCCCAGCAGAATAGTAGAGCGGACTTCTAGGTATATCTAGGCAAGTTATAGAGGCTCGACATTGTGAAATATACATGGTTCCTAGCTCTTTCTTCTTCAGTGCTTTTTGGAAGCCCTAAAGTGAGCAGCTCTCCTCTCCCATGCCCTTTGGCCATGATGTGTCTGTCCTGGAGCCTGCCTACCATGGGCTGAACCCTCCGAAGCTTTGAACCCAAAGAAACCTCTTCTCCTTTAAGTTGTGAGTACTGGATATTTCATACCAGCAATGAGAAAACTGGTCAGTACAGGCTGTCACACTGAGCCCAAGTTGCCTGTCCCCATGGGCCAATCTCTTGATCTGTCATCATTCAAGATCCTTCACTTAGGGACACTGGACAAAAATACTGCCCTTGGCATTAGATTGAAAAGTTAAATCTGGGCTCACTGAGGGGGAGTCCTTCACTGGAATAAAGTCCAGTGGGGAGCCCAGATTGTCCCAGCCATGCTTCTCGATTGCCAGGGTCTCAGGTCTCTGTTTATGACAATGACAGGATAACCCCTATGCTGCGGCCTATTGTGTAAAATTGGAACACTGGAAATCTTGACCATAAAGCTCTTGTTAGCACTGACCTTTTCCAGATCTATTAAAGTCTGAGGGCAGCTTCATGTGGGAAAGGCAAGAAGGCAGTATGGCTGGGTGTCAGACAGACCTACAGGGGGCCTGCCCATTAGCTCAATTGTTCAAGTCCCTGCTCATGCAAATGCAGTAAAGTGCAGAATACTTCCAGTTTTATCCACACCTCCACCTGTATTACTAGACCCTCCCTTAAGGCAGCCTGAGCCAGCAGAGGTGTGTGTGTGTGTGTGTGTGTGTGTGTGTGTGTGTGTGTGTGAGATCATTATCAGACAGACCTACACCCAGACCCTCATGTGGACCCAGTGACCTTGAGCAGGTGAGTTACCCCCTGAGCCTCAGTGGCTTCGTCTACAAAGTGTGTCTGTTCTAAAAATGTTCTCTACTCATTCCAGAACCAGCCCCCAGGGGCCATGTGAGATGGACAGCTCCTAGCCAGCAGCCAGCCCAGGGAGCACCCTGTAAGCACACTCACCTCCCCTCCATTGACATAGTCGAGCACAAAGTAGAGCTTCTCAGGGGTCTGGAAGGAGTAGCGCAGGCCCACGAGGAATGGATGCTGCACGTTCTTCAGCAGCACATTGCGCTCTGCCATGATGTGGCCCTGCTGTGGAGTCACACAGACGGGATCACGTCACAGCCTATGACAGCCCCTTTCATCCCAGCAAAACCCCACATGGCCTCGATGGGGAGATTGTCCTGCTAAGGACTTTCACAATGGCACCCTCTGGCCCTCAAAACCAAGTCCAGGTTCTGTGCCAGTATTCAGTGGCCAGAGTGGTCAGACATCCCCAGTCACTTCTTATCAGTATAGTGTCAGTCCCTGGATCAGTAATTCCTGTTCAATCCCTGGTACTGAAAAAAAAAAAAAAAAAAAAAGTCTGGAGCTTGGAGAAATTCCTGTTTCCAGAGGAAAAAGCAAAGTGAATCTGATGTCTATATAAATGAATCCTAAAGGAAATCTGTGGGGAAAAAGTGCCATATGCTATCCATATTCATGCTTTTGTTCATGCTGTTTTCCCTGCCTGGGCATACCGCTGTCCACTGGAATGCTACTGTCAAAGCCAATCACAAGACCACCTCCATCAGAAAGATCTCGCCTCCCTCCTATCCTCATGATGTTCTCATCAGCATCAGTCTCTCTCCTAAGTCGCTGGACATTCAATCCTAATGGCAGTGGATTGGGTTAGATACTCAATAGGTGGAGGCATCTAGAAATTCACCTGACCTTGGCTTGAAGGGCATTTTGAGAGTACAAAGTGTGCACGTGGGGAGCCTGGCACCTTGACAGGACAGAAAATATGTCCTTCATGCAGCCTTGTATTGCCCACAGGAAGGCACAGGCCCTCTAGGGGGGGCACTGGGACTCTCTGCTGTGACTGCTTCTGCACCCAGCTCTGTGGATCTCTCAGAAGGGGGCACTGTTTATGGAGGCCACACAGGGTTGGAGAGCTTTTTGAAAGAGAGGAAATGCCTGTGCCTGAGCTCTATTACCTCTTTGTTCTTTAAGATGGATTTTTTCTGCAGCACCTTCACTGCGTAGAAGGTCCCATCAGACTTGCGCTTGGCCAACAGGACCTGAGCAGAGGCACAAAGGCAAGACCCCTGCATGGCTGCTCCCATTATGCAGGAATGTGAGCTTCTCTTTGCACGTGCAAGTGGCATGCAGGGCCCAGAGGAGGCTGGAGAAGGGCAAAGCCACCCTCTCCTCTCAACTCACCTTCCCGTAGTTCCCTTTACCAATGACCTTGAGGAAGTCGAAATCTGTGGGACTGGCACTGGGGGTTGAGAGGATAGGGGTCAGCATTTGCAGGTTCCTGAGTGCAAATCCAGGCTTCTTGACTTCAGCATTGAGAGATGCAGGCTGACTTCTGGAGGCCACATCTCTATGACCCTAAGGGACTCACCCTCCCAGCCAAGAGGGACTTGCAAGACTCACCCTTCCACTCAGGGAGCTCATAGCCCAGCTGACATACAGACAAGCAGGGGACAAGAGCTCACTGCATAGAAAGCAGGGGTTGGCACCCCCTATTCTTCCCCCCCCCCCCCCCCCCCCCCGCCAGAACTGGGGATTGAACTCAGGCCCTTGCACTTGCCAGGGAAGTGCTTATTCCACTGAGCTATCTCCACGGCCCCAACACCCCTCTATCCTGAGAGCGGCCTGTGGCTGGGGAATTGCTAAAAGTGCAGACATTGAGGGGATGGGTATTCCAGGCAAAAGGCTCAGGGTGAGCAACAGCTGGGGAATTAGTGTGTAATGAAGCTGGGAGCGGGCCCAAGCCCAGATGATGGAGGGACTTAAGCACCATGCCAGAGACTTTGGATTGTACTCCCAAGGCAAAGGGAGCTGGCTCTGAGGGAAGCCCTGTAGGAAAAGCCCTTGACAGGCCAGAACTCACTTTGGGTTGGCTGAAGGCCCCAGGTTGATGTTTCCATTGGCCCTGGAAGGCTGAAGACATTTTTAAAAAGGTGATTAATAGGCCCCCTCTTCTTCCCCAGCCCAGACCTAGTCTCTTCTCCAACACCTCATCTGTCTTTACAACCAGTTCCATAACTTGTCCAGCCCATGTACTTCTTGGAGCACTCAATCAAATCTCTCCTCTGCTCTCCAAGTGGCCCACCTCTGTGAGCCACTGTGACCTCTGCTGGCCCCCAGTGATTGTCTAGGACAGCCTAGGGCCTGGCTGGTGTCTCAGACTTAGAAGAAAAGTGAGCCTGCTGGTGCTGGGTGGGAGGCCAGAGCTACTCACCTGTGGGCTACGTACCCCAGCAGGGCTGGAGGCCATTCTGTAGTCACGATCAGGTGGACTCTGGGGGTATAGGGAGAAGAGGTAAGAGAGAGTGCTTTTCCAGTGACTCAGGCATGGCTGTCCCCTCCTATCTCCCCAGCCCTGAACCCCTGCCTCAGCTAAGCAGCTTCTATCCTACAGGTTAGCATCCCCTGCATAGATAGGACAAGAAGTAGAGGCCCCTGGACCCAGTCTTTATCACTAAACTTCTTGGAAGGGATGGAGTGGAACAGTCAAGGAGAGCCTGTCCCAGGCTGGGGCCTTCCAAGGCCTTTCCTCCACATCACAGCTGTGCATCAGAGGCCTAGAAGAGCTTTCTAGAGTCCGGGTGTGGTGGCGCACACCTGTAATCCCAGCACCGGGGATGCTGAAAACAAGAGGATCCCTACATGTCTGAGCTGCATAGTGAGAACCCTGTACCAAACACATAAAAAAAGAAAAAGGAAAGAGTTTTCTAGGGTTCCAGTTTGTGAGGGGCAGGGTGTAATCCCGGACTCCCCTATAGGGTGTTGGTCACTCCCAATTCTTGTGGGCAGTCTAAGGCTGGGTGCTATGCTGACTATAAGGACTTCCACTCAGTGCCCGGGAACAGCAGCTGCGCCAGGGGCCTGGCCTGGAACCAAAGAGAGCCCCAAGACTGGCCAGTGTCAGGCTGGAGATGTAGCTCAGCAACATAGCACCTGCTTGGCAAGCGTGAGATCATGAGTTTGATTTCTGGTATAAAAAAAAAAAAAAAAAGGCTGGCCAGTGTCTGAGGTTAGGCAGCAGAGGGGGTGACCAGCTGATCTGTGCAGCCAGCAGTGCTGCATCTTCCCTGCCCTTGTCCTGTGATGTAGAAGAAGCCAGGGAGTCCTGGCTTTAGGATGGTTTAGGATGTTCAGGACCCCACAATCCCTGCACTTCCCACTTGGAAGGTCAAAGCTAAGAGCCAGGATCTCACCCAAGAGCCCCGTTGCTCACAGCACTGTCTGAAATTGCACACCCCAAGACACAGGTTTGGCCCGCTGTGGGCTGGGGCAGCAGTCTGGCCTCTCTGAGTAGGTAGCACCCAATGTCACAAGTGCACTCCATGGCCTTCTCTGGAGCTAGGAAAGTGATCACAAGGCAAGGGAGGGAATCTTGCAGCCAGATTCCTCTGAGAGGCCCAGTCCTTCCAGGCCCCAAGAGAGCAAGCTGCAGAAGTGCAGAGGAGGGAGTGCAGCTGGGCTGGCTCCCACAGGCAGCCTTCACTAAACCAAGGCTGACCCTGGTGGCTCCTGTGCTAGGCATAGACCTTACCGGTCCCACATACCTGTGCAGCCTGAGGAAAAGCCTCCAGGGAACCCAGCAGTGGAGCCAAGGACAGGCAGCAGACAAGAGCCTCTCTCTGTTCTCCCAACAAGAGCTGAAGTGTCAGCTGGGGCCGGCCCGGCCCAGC